CCCCCAACAAAAAAAAAAAACTGTTTTCTGTTCAAGGGGGTGGGGTCGGGACCGTCGGGGTTCCGGAACCCCGAACCGCAACCCCCTTCCCCAACCCCCTCTCCCCTCGGCCGCGGCGGGCCGCCAAAGTCCGCGGTCGTGACCGCGGTCCCGTGGCGGCGGGGGATTCGTAGGCCTTTGCCCACCTTGCCATGAGAGCAAACAAACAAAAAGAATGAGAGTTTGAATTCCCAACTTCCTAACATAGCCATCGAACGGTGTGTGTGGCACTTGTCAAGGATGGTAAAATTACATACAGGTAATCTGGCACCTGTATATCAATCCCCTATAATTGCTGCGCAGAAGCATTCACGCTTGATTCTCTCAGCTCCATGCCAAGGATCTTCTTGTCGTTCCTTCTTGATCTACTCTCTTTCCGCCATGACTTCACCCTACAGTAACTAGCCACCGTCAACTTGATCTACTTTCTTTCCGCCATGAGTTCACGGTACAGTAACTAGCCACCTTCAACTTAATCTACTGTCTTTTCTTTCCGCCATGAGTTCACCGTACAGTAACTAGCCACCTTCAACTTGATCTACTATCTTTCCGCCATGAGTTTTACCGTACAGTAACTACGGTAGCCACCTTCAACTTGATCTACTGTCTTTCCGCCATGAGTTTTACCGTACAGTAACTACGGTAGCCACCTTCAACTTGATCTACTGTCTTTCCCCCAAGAGTTCACCGTACAGTAACTAGCCACCTTCAGTAATTGTCTCGTCAAAGAAGACAGCCGCCGATGCCGAGCATGTAAAGGTGGCAGTCTCATCGCCGAAGACCGCCGGCCATGCCGAGGATGTGTTTCATGGCAAACCATACATATTGCGAAAAAGTCATAAGACCTCCCCGCGACGAAACCTTTGTATCAATTTCCCCCCGAACGGAGAAAAAGGTGCCGCAGGCCCCAAAATCACTTTCGGCGTCATTTTTGCACCCTGCAAAACACTTTCCTGCCATTTTTACACAGCGGCCGTTACTGACCTCTCCGTTGAGATTCGAAAGATGGCGACCGGATGACACACAGCGTGGGGTCGCTGCGCCAGGATGATCACGCCTATCCAACTTTTTGTGTCGGTATTTACAGTTTTTAATCTTACGGCCTTTCGGTCGCGTTTTGGGAATATCGCGCCTTTTTTTCGTTTTCTTCTCTCTCTCTCTCTCTCTCTCTCTCTCTCTCTCTCTTTTCTCTTTCTTTCTTTCTCTCCCTCTGTGTGAGGAACATTGCCTGTTGTGATTCCTATCTCTGCTTTGGATGACTTTTTCTTCCCAGACAGGGTGCAAAAATGACACCAAATGTGATTTTGGGACCTGCAGCACCTTTTTCTCCGTTTGGGGGAAATGCAAATGGATACGAGGGTTTCGTCGCTTGGAGGTGTTATGACTTTTCCCATACATTTTACATACCCCCGACCCCCCACGACTCATCCCGCGCATAGATAGACAGCATCTTTCCACCGCTCCGACATTGGACCACCATGGGTTCCGGATCACAGGTTTCAGTAAGTGAACAACTTTCTCCACACGTTTCCATACACTCCACACGTATCCGTACACTCCTTCCGTCTGCGTGGGATATTTGGCACGGTAGTGCGATTGGGCTTACCGCAGCCCCGGCACTTCCAGTCAAAAGCATCCATTGTGGGGAACTCCATCCAGACTGATCCAGTTGAGAGAGAGAGAGAGAGAGAGAGAGAGAGAGAGAGAGAGAGAGAGAGAGACAGA